CTTCAAGTTTTTAAAGCCTTCGCATGCACCAAACAAGTACATGTTTGACATGCTTTATCATTATCATACAAGTATTCATTCGTAGAAAGGACTTTTTGTTCTTGTTCACATGCGGCGACTATTATTTCTGCAAGTTACCTGTCCAAAAATACCATATGTTAGGTATTTCTGCATAGCAACGAAATTATGTTGCCGAAATTGTGTTGCTATGGTAGGGCATCTACGCATGCGCACTGGAAAACAATCTGCACCAAAAAAGATAACCTCGATGTACTAATATAATGTTTAGGACAGAAATTTGTGAATAGATTTATTTTTGTTTTTCTTTANGAATGCTGTCAATATCGATTCACTGAATACATCATAGAATAATGCATCAGAGATGACATCACGTAGACTCCAAATTATTTTCACATTTTTATGACCTTGTCACTCAACTGCATTTATTATGACAGCGTGTTTCGCATCTTTTGGAAACTAACAAAGTTTATTTTATGGCGCCATTTAAATACAAACCCAATGCCAGCGTCAACTATCCGACTTGTCATACACGCCAGTCCACAGCTGCAGATATAAGTGACCTTTCATGACAATGAAGATATTCATTCGAAACATTTGTTGCTATTAACCTAATGTATGCTATAGTTTAGAAAGTACCAGCATACACATGAGATCATTTGATAACATTCATTAGATTAAGTATTTTTAGCTAAGGCGTTAGCCGCCAGCGATTGGTATTACTTTAGTTAATGAGCTCAAGAATATTCATTAATGTCGTTTTCACACATACGCCTCTAGCGGTACCCACTGGTACTAAATTGAATCATATACCGGACCTACTGTCTTTATTATGCGTAATTTTGGACTAAAATGCACTTGAATGGCTTGTAAATATCATTCCTTTCATTTGTAGAACATATGATCTTATCACAACGTCGTATTCTTATTGAAAATGCACCCTGTTTATCTCAATCGGGAACTGCTACTTGACTGTTGGTCATGCATGCAACACGCAACTTCCGGTAAAAATACTTCAGTTAATGAGCTCAGATATTCATAAACGAGACATAACGTCACCTACCAGTAACATAAACAAACTGCAAATAAAATCCATAACCACGGACTCAAGTTCACTCACAAGTCATTGGATATAATCTTATTCTTAGTTTGAACTATAAGTATCCTTCTAAAACTTCATATTTACTCTTGGAACTGTCGCTGGATTAACCCTTTACACGGAAATATTGTCCTGTGATTGGCTAAAATTGGTGACTATTGCATTTACGTCCCTGTTTACATTTATATATTGCGTGGTCAGAGCTATGAAGCAGTCCTGTTCCAGCTAACTAAGGAAAATCAAAAGTGCTAATCTGTAATAATATATATGATTCACGCTTCAGATGATTATAATGTTATCAAAATATTGCATATTCGTTCATCGTTGAAATAACAAATCCTTACTAAAAACAGAAACGACGGCCATGTTAGATCACGCGTGATGTTATCAAAATTACCCGTTTCCTTATATGGCCTTCTCGGCCAAATATAGTATTACTACTGATGCCGTCATGTTTACTACAATTTCCATATTTGGTCATGACACCCATATTTAGACGTCTGACCTATATCGGAAGACAGGCGAAATTTCCAACATGGCAGTCAATTAAGATTTCGCTTGTACTTGTTACGTAAACTTGATAATTTAACGACATATGAGCCAGAGTATAACTTACAATTATGTAGGAGATCAACATAAAAAGTTTATATTACAAACCTATTAATGGATACGGATCCTGTCAATTAATTCTAAAATCGCCTGCATGTGATTCACACCAGGCTTGCTTAACTAAAATGGGATCGCCCGGCCGGGGCAGATGAGACCGGGAATCATATTAGTACTAGCCACTGTCCTTCTCTAGTTCCATATTGGTATTCCAACCTGAAGGCTTTTTTTACCTTCGCAGTATTATCATTTTGTTCTATCTTCAAGTTTTTAAAGCCTTCGCATGCACCAAACAAGTACATGTTTGACATGTTTTATCATTATCATACAAGTATTCATTCGTAGAAAGGACTTTTTGTTCTTGTTCACATGCGGCGACTATTATTTCTGCAAGTTACCTGTCCAAAAATACCATATGTTAGGTATTTCTGCATAGCAACGAAATTATGTTGCCGAAATTGTGTTGCTATGGTAGGGCATCTACGCATGCGCACTGGAAAAAAATCTACACCAAAAAAGATAACCTCGATGTACTAATATGATGTTTAGGACAGACATTTGTGAATAGATTTATTTTTGTTTTTCTTCACTTTGTATGAGGCCAAAAAGGCCGATAAGTCCTTTCGCGGTAAACCGTATATATATGACGTCGGACTAGATATTTGTGTCGGTACTAAATGAACAGATATACTGAAGCGTTTCACTGATCAATATGTGACTATAGAACTAGCGCGAGTGCGTTTAAAATAAATACGGACATCTGTATAAGCACTTAATATATCAACGGAAACAATGGAAGAGCGACGTCACTACATCTGGTAAAAATCAATTGTTTGGTCAATAAAACTAACAGCGTTTTAAGGAGACAACACTCGCTATTTGTACAGACACTTTCAATTGTTGCTACAATGGGATGGTTCTTAGCATTACAAATAGTAACAAGAATACACGTCTCTCATTCAGTTAATGACATGGCTGTCGGCTGGGTGATAGGACGTCATGTGGATCACACAATGACATGGTAATAACATGATCACGTGTATAGATCACGTGATCGAGATATGATAAAAAGACCAGTACAAACATTGAAATATTTTGAAATATATAATAGTGAACAGATTTCTTGAAGATGAAAATTGAAGATGAGCTTGAAACAATCTGGTTATGTTTGCCTTAGTTTACCAGAGTCTGTAAAAATGGTAGTTTCTACTCCTGCTTAACGCTCAGCAATTAAGGGGTGGGACGACTGGTTCGCCCGTTGTCAGTATAATGTGACCGTGTGAGGTGCCCTGCTGGGTGTCTTCGGCAGTATGTTTCAGTTAGGTAGCACTATAAAGTCGGCAATACTACACTCGCAAATTTAACCGGAAGTTTTATATTCAAAAATCCTTTTTTCATCAATATATTTCATATTGCACTGTATTGTACTATTTATCGAGTCGTAAATGTAAATACGAAAAACATTAACTTCCACAAGGTACTTGTACACTAAGTGTATTCAAAAACTAGTAAACGACAATAACAGATACAATCATTATTACCGGTCATATTATATTGACAACGGGCGAACCAGTCATCTCACCCCTTACTTGTAATATTGAGTGCTTTACGTTTGATTTGGAAACAAAATGCTAGTTATGAGCCATTGTTTTTGTCGTTCGAAATCCATAGGGTCACAAAAGATATGTTATATCGCCAGTGGAATCATTATATTGTCAAAGATGAGGTGTATGAAAATCTACACTGCCGTTTTAAATAAGGATACAATGCTGGTATAAGGAAACTTACACTGCAGATGGAAGAAGATATAAAACTTTAACGGTGTTAATTGGGAAGAAAGAGTAATGTTTCTAATGAATAAAATGCATTAAGCAGTCACGTGATACACATGATAGCCTTCTGTCTTAACGCAAACGCCAATAAATGAAATAAAATGAAATATGAAATATGTATATTTGCTTCTTAATAAATGTAATTAGCAATGACTTACAAATAGAACCAAAATAATATTCTTATTTTGGAAACTTTTTCTAGCTGCATTAACGAAATTAATTATGTTTAAAACACTATGGATACAGCATATGTAAGCCTTTTTCAGATACAAAATTCTAGTAGAACTGAGATATATATTACTAAATGAATATGTATGTACCTTATATACACAGAGAGACAGCCTTAGCAGAATACGCATTTAACAGGTTTTGCTTTCTTCTGCTCTTTTAAGTATAATAGTATACCAAAAACCAAAGAGTACCCCCAAGCATTAGACCAAACGATATCATGAATAGTGACGTGTCAATCAATTTTGTGACGTCATCCTTGTGCACACAACCAAACACGTCATCCGTTAGCTTATTCTCACGTTCTTTCTTATCCAGATATTCTTCTCTTGTTTCATTGGTATTCAGAGTATAATCTGATTCTTGTTGGTTGATCCCAAGTTTATGAATAAAGCGAGTCAGTTTTTGCAGCCATTTTGGAAATTTGCATACGTCAGAAACAGCTTCACATCGTAGTGTAAATATAGTAAGCAGTATAAGTAGCCCACTGTATATCAAAGCAAAGAGCAGGAAGTACGTCATCCCCGCCATGTTGTCCGACACCTTGGGCAGGTTGTCTCCGATAAGTGTCATATACACGGCCAGTGACAGGAACATGGTGATTGTGTAGGATATTCTCTCCCCTGAGGAGGCAGGAAACAGAAACACGAACGGGTTCAGGAAACACAGGATGAGAACCGGCATTATTAGGTAGATGATGAAAAACATGGACTTCCTCGTTATATGAATTGAAAAGACAACGCCATTGTTTGGAGATTCTAAATGTATGAACTCAGATACTGATGTTTTATCTAAATTCCATTCTCCGTTCGGTGAGAAAGCCGACATTACAAATGTCTTTCGAGTATGTACGAGCTGTATTTCATCCGGATAGATACCCCATTGTCTTATAACAATGTCACATACCTGTGAATCAACGGGAAAACGTCTCATATCTGTAACACACGAGGATCGTAAGAGTCGGCCAGGTAACACTATACAATGTCCTGTGTGATTTATTCTAACGTCAAATTGGTTGGAACCAATCGGCTCCAGGTCCTGTGCGGTCGTCTGCACGTATAAATATGGTTTCCATACATTTGAGGCATTAACAAATATATCTTCTATGCCACCGTAATCATTAGGATCCCATTTCAAGCGATAGTCTGTCCATTTTACGACCAGCACGGCGTTCACTGTTATGATTCCCGCCAATTCGTCAAAGTCAACAATGGATAACAACATCATTGCTGTGTCTACCATCAACACGTCTGTGAAGTTGTACACAGGGTATATCTCCTTTGTGTAGTTAGCAAACAATGTATTAGTCAACCTTATCCAGTCGTCCATCGTTCCTTTACGTCCTTGCACCGACTCTCCAGTGATGTACAACAAAATCAGCATTAAAATGACTCGTGCGGTTGTCATGGTGATGCGGAAATGGCAGCTTTCCTCTGCAAAACACATGATGACTATTTACACATATTTTACAGGATGAGATTATTGTTTTAAAATCATTGAAAATGTATACTAATGTTGTATTGCTATTCTGATTGAGGTTGTTGGTTGTATAGGGTTTAACGTCCTATCAACAGCTAAGGTCATTTAGGCACGTGACTGATAAGAGTTACTGTCGAATACCTGTATTTAAGAGACATAATTCCAAATTGTCATAAATAAATCGAAATTCGAGCCCTCGTTTTGAGGGTCGTGCTACTTATGAGTCTATTGTTTGAACATTCTGACTCTTTCGCAACATTAACCCTAATACTAGTGGTATCAGATTTATTATGCAACAAGCAAGCAACTGTTGAAATATTATAGTTTTAATGCATAATGTATCATGTCTCATGCAACTTAAAAATTGTCATATAACTTAGAAATATGAATGCGTCAACATAAGATCGTGTACTGCAATAATTAATGTGGGACAATAAAATAACAGATCTCAAAGCTATACAAACAAGAACCAACACAGATCCACGTTATTAACAGGAGTTAAGCACCCCAACATAC